CATTGCGCAAAAACAAAAAAATTATACAAGAATAAATTGAAGGTATATGCTTAGCACACGTAGCAGTAGTCATTACAGTACATGATTTTATTATATACACTTATTTTAATCAAAAGTTATGAGCTAGTTTTCACTGTACTTAAACAAAAAAACAGTACCATTCGACTTGACGAACGAAACGTAAGCAATCAGCTTTTCTTGAAAGCGCAATTCTTAAAAAATATTTATTTTTTATGGATTCACTTGACAAATTTATTTCAAATACTAACGGTAAAAGTGGGAAAAACAATAAATTTAAAAAAATTATTATAAAACATATTTAAAAATTAATATAAATCCGATATATTTTATAAAAACACATTTAATCACAGTTTATATATGTTTAAAAGGTTTTAAAAATATTTTAAGTTAAATTCTTATAATTATACAATCTCACCATGTATTCCAACGCCATACGCACCAACGCAGCAAACAACTACTACTACGAATCTAACAGGACTGATTTTTCGCAAAAGCTGTGTCGGCAAATATTATGGCATTCGCTCGAGAAACATTAAAACAAAGAATGCCAGATCTAAAAAAAGGTCAGTGCTGACACTTTTATAAAATATGAATACACATATCAAAAATTTTTAATAAAATTAAATCTATAATTGTATATTGATTTCTACGGTTTTAAGTATATTACAAGCAAAAATAATAAATACTGTAAGTTGTCGCAAGTTGATCTTAAATTTTTAAGTATTTTGCCGAAGTGGACCGTTTCAAGGTTCGTATCAACAATTTGCTATAGCCAACGAAACATATTCTTTTACAAGGTAATTCTGGCAAGGGTCGTTAAAAGTCTTGTGTAAGATCTCTCCAATGACCGTAACACCGTTTGTAAGATTTTAGCTATTCTGCAGAAAAGTTTTTAAAAAAAAGTTTTATCATATGCAATTCGTCGCAAAAAGCCGGTTTCTTCTATTTCTTTCGTAGTGAAATCAAAAACAGGTCCTAATCGCAGCAGCATGCTTGTAAACAGTTACAAATGTAATGGAAAGCTATAGGATGTATGTTCCATTATTATTAGTATTATGATTTATACATAAATAATTATTTTCCAAATTTATCTCGTCATGAAAGATATAATAGCACCAACTACAGTAGTACCAGTAGTAAATATAAATAGATGAATAAATCAATGTTTAATATATATTATAAAATGTTATATATTAAATATTTAAAATATATATATATTATTATATTATACATATGTAAGTTAATATATAAAATATATATTCAAAAGCTTTTACAAAGACAGTATAATAAATCAACGTATTTAAGCTTGCGTCGTATTAAAAATGAAGTTAGACATAATTGCTTTCAAATTTCAACTTATTAATTAATTTTTTATTTTAATTTTTATGTATTTTATTGTATATAAAAAAGTTTGTACATATAAAATACAAACAAAATGTTAGCTGACAACCGAAGACTTGATCAACAGTAGATCTTTCATTTTCAGTCTTTTTGGCTTTCCATCTTGCAAAAGACCGCTGCCAAAATACGAAAGATCTTTCAAACAAAATCTTTTTAAAGATCTTTTACAATACGAGCTGAAAAATCGTTGCCAGAATTGTCCTGATAACGTAATATTAACAGAAATTTTCAGTTTTCTACTAAGCAAGGAAGAAGAAAACATGCATTTCATAACTATTGCTTTTGTTTGGGTCTTACTATTTTCGTTTTCAATTGTACCCAGATCAGTTTTCGTTATAATTTGTGAATGGAAGATGACGTGCTTTAAATAAATGAAACAATGTAAAAACAAATAATGTGTATCAGATTAGATAAATACTTACTATAAATACTAATTAATATGCAATTTTATAAAAATGTTTAATTACAAATTTTTATTTTACTAAATTTTGAATTTATTTCTCGGTTTGTTTTTTTTAATAATGGCTTTTATATGTTACTTATCCGGCTTTAGGTCACTTCTAGTTAAAATTAAAATTCAACGTTTGTTTAATATTTTTTAATATATTATATATTTCGACTCTCCTTGAGAGTCATCATCAGGATCACGATCTAATATAAATTAATATTAATATAATCTATTTTTAAACGTCATGCTCTGTTTCCGTTGTCTATATTGCATTTTTATTTTACATTTTTATAATTTTTTACAGTTCTTGTAACATAAAAATTTAAAGTTTTGCTATCGTTTGAAAATTCTGTATTAAGTTTTAAAAACAAACTTGTGCTTCTTGTTTGCTTTTCTACCCTTTTCCATATTTAAAACATATAAAAAAATAATAATGCAAATTATACATAATCTTGCATAAAATTTTTTATGTTTCTAAAAACTCACTGCCAAATTAACAGTAAAAAAATTGTGACAAAATTGTGCACTTTTGTGCAGAAAAAGTCACTATTTTACAGTTGAGGAATAGCAAAATCAGAATGTAATACCATGTTTACAATACGAACTATAGTGAACCCACCTTGCTAATAATCCATTCACGCTGTTTTATTCAGGCACTTGCTCATTAATAAGTATTAATATTAATGAATAAAAGTTTTTGTTACAATGAGGTCATTTATGCAGTTGATAGAACATTTATACTTCCCTTAATAATAGGTTAGCTGCACAAGCTACTCGTAGTAACTTTGAGACTAAGAAATTGTAAAATGTTCTATATTTATTTGCCGCTTTATTTGTATGTAATTTAATCATTATTGAGAATTTTATTTTGTTGTGCAGATTCATTGCAGAGCAATGTAATTATATATTGATCCATAATTTTCAACAAAATATATAGTAAACAAACACAATATTCACAAGTATCAAAATGTAAACAAAAGATAACAAAAACAACAACTGTCAAAATGAAAACCCGAAACGATAATGTAAACGCTGAATCAACTTTAGCAAAGTTTGTTCACTAAAGTTCGTAATGTAAAACATAGTATAACACTGTGTGTACACAAATTTGTTCCACCAGCAAATTTTCGAATAAATGAGGGCATATGAGAGAGCGTAACATCCCTGTCGAAATTTAAAAATGCTACATTGATTTTACTCGAGCATTTTCTTTCAAATAAAATTTGCGTGTTGTATGAATCAGATGTTTTGGTTTGAATTTAAATTTTTGTATGGTTTATTTGCGCGGCACTAGTGTTCTCACCAGATTTTACAAAAAGCTTTTCCATGAAAATCTGTATAAAGACCATAATTTAGCACTTTATTTGTGTTACGCTCTCAATTTGTATTTTACTAGTATTTTACTCGAGTTTTACAAAGAGTAACTGGCGGAACAAACCTTTTATATCACACAAAAAAAATTATATATATGTAATTGATATATTGAAACATATATATATCAATTACATGTTCAGTTAATAAAAAAAAAGATTTTATTAAGCACTTACCTTTTCAGTGCTTTATTTTAAGCTTAGCTGTTATCTGTTTACAGTTTACATGTAATATATGTGATACATACTTTAAATTTGAATCATTTCCCTTGTGGGTAATTTATTATTATCGGTTGCATTCGACATTTTATGCTTTATATATGATGATTTATTGTTAATCAGCTCATTTATATGAAAGCACTTTGTTTGGTAAATCATCCCTATTAGTAGCTACAATTAGCAAAACCGACTAGATAAGATAGTGTGAATATGCTGTTAGTTTAAATATAAAGTTATTTTTATAAGTACAACTAAAGCAATTATAACAATTAATTCTCTGTAAGAATATTTAAAAACGTAGAAATCAATACTTTCAATCAAGGAATAATATATATAATTTTTATACTTGTTTTTTCCGAAAGTGCCAGCCCTGAACTTTTTATTAAATCTGGCACCCTTTGTTTTAATGTTTGTTGAACGAGTGCCACAATTTTTGGCGCCACAACTTTTGGGGAATATTAGTCGTATTTGGTTCGTGTAGTTTAATTGTGGTGGCTGAACACCTAAGAACTGAGTTTAGTTTTTAAAATAATTTCGGTTTTATTACCATAGATATAAAAAACGTAAGTAAATGTGTTTTTATAAAAAATATCGGATTTATGGTGTTCTAATATTTAATTTTTTAAAATTTTTATTTTTGCTATGAATTGTAAGCCATTATAATTGTGATGTGAATCTGTCAAAAGTAGAAATTTTTTAAGAAATCTGGCAAATATTTACGAAATAGATGCCTCAATATTTGCCTGAAAGCTTTTAAAAATAGTCGGTTATGTTTGGTTCGAACTGTTTGTACTGTATAGTTTGATTTTATTTATATAGTGTAAACCTCATTATTTTTATTTATTTAAAATAATTGCATATTTAATTTGATTTAATGTACGATGCGCAAATGACTGAATTCACTATACTGAAATGCATGACGCCACACGAAAGGGTTAGTTTTTGTCTTGCATTGCATACTGTATTCGTATTGTTTCTAATTTGAATTTATTTTATTATTTGCTTTACACTTATCCGTAAAGATTCTCGATAAGAATGGTGAAACGTTTAAATTTTGGTCGCAATTCCTGTAGAAATCCGTACCTTTCGCGATAAATTGTATGTAAAAAATTATCTTTTAACCATATTTTATTTGGTTTTCTTATTTCGTATTAGTAATAATTATATTATTAATTTTGTAAAGAATTATAATAATACTAATATTTATAAGAATGTTTATAACATTTATTTTTGCTAAACTTTAAACAGTTCATAAGTTTTTACCACATTTGAAAGTAAAATAAATTTTTATTAATTAAAATAATAGTTATTTATTAATATAAATTAAAATTAAATATAATTTAATGATAATAATATAATAATAATGATACAATCGGATATATCAAAAGTTTTTATTAAATCTGGCAAAAGTTTTTTAATTAAATATTCAAAGTTTTTAATAATCTGGCAAAAGTTTTTTTTATTAAATATTCAATTTTTTTTTTTTATTAAATCTGGCACCCTTTGTTTTAATGTTTCTGCAATGAATGCCAGAATATTTGCGAAATATCAATACCAGTCGTGTTTGATTTGGCGAGTGGACTAGTTGAGATTTTCTTGTTGAGTGGTAGTGGTGATCATCATGAATTGTTAAATTATGTTTGAATAAGGTAAAGACACATAAATGTAGTGTAGCTTGTTTTATTGAAGATGAACGGTAGTTAAATATTTTTATTTGTTTGAAATAAATATTACCATTAAATTAGTAATACCCAAGTAAACTGATTTTGAAGTAAATAAACGTTTTTGTATTTAAAATAAGAACAATTTAAATATGTGCTTCGTATTTTTTTTTAATTGGAAATACACCATAACATTTTCTTCAAGTTATACGTCTTTTAATTTCCATTTTGTTTTCCTTTTTTGTGTTTCTTTATCAACCATTAAATTTCTATGTGAACCAATCAAAAATAAGATTTTACAAATGGCAATTTAATGCGTAGTACGCAATGGCTGCATGCACACAAACACACTCAAACGCATAAACCCTTACCAAACGGTATATTTTTGCCTTGCTTTGCATATTCTATACGCATTGCTTCCAACTTGAATTTATTGTGTTATGTGCCTCACATTTATCCGTAACATAGTAAAATTTTTTCCATATCAAATAAATAAAATGTTTTCAGTGAGTTTGTTTTTATATATGTATATTTTTAAAATAATGTTTTTTTTTAACAAATTGTGCATATTTTAATAGGCAATAAATATACAGTATATGTAAATTGTAAACGCTGTCTCTTCTCCAATGTTTTCTTTACTTTTTTTTTTTTTTAAATATTGACATTCTGTTGCAAGTTTGAAGTAATGAAAGCAATAAAACGAAGCAAATAAATGAGAAGCGATTAAAATAATTTCTTACAGAGAAAAATGTAAATTAAATACCCAGTCAAATATTTTTTCAAAACTTTGTTATTTAATTTATTTTTATAATTAAATTAATATGGTATTTTTTTATTTAAATGTTTTCAGTTAAAATATGCTTAGAATTTTCCAAATCTGGTATAGTAAAAAAATGTTTGAAGATGCTTGAACATAATTACATGTATTGCCACTGGATTACAAAATATACCATACATTGTGTGGGTCAAACAATATCACAGATTCTCATCACCACCCAACCGATTCCAGTAGTACACAATCCAAATTAATTTCTGTGACCAGAGATTAAAAGGGTAAATAGTACTTTTTTATAAAATAATTTTAAATATAGTATTTAATTCCAATTTCATTCTTAGACCTTAAGCGAAAAGTTTATTGTTATTAACAAATGGCATTAGGCGTAATATATAAAAATAAAATTGCTACCGTCTATAGCACATCTTTACTAAGTTAATTTACATCGATAAATAATAAAAACTATTTATTTTCATCACTGATTTCGTCTTCACAACGCAAATCGTGGTTCATTAATTAATCACCAATGGAGTCTGTTTATTTAGTCATATGAAATGGACAAATCCGGTGATGAATGCGAGATACTTACATTGGGTTCCAGAGAATCTAATACTAAAAAATGTTTGCCATTTCGTCTGGTCAAAGGTACATTAAAAATATAATATATCATATATATTTGTAACTGCCATTGCTGATATTATAAATTATTCATTAAATGCTTAAGTAAATAATAGGTCATGGTGCGAGAACCTAAGTATGCATATCTGCCAAAAACTGTACTGTACTATTTCTATTGTAAAATACTAAGCTGTTCATCAAGTTCCGTGAACAAAAATATAAAAATAGATATTTGGTTGTACAAATGAATTTTTTTCAATATAATTTCTCTCAATTTCAATATACTTAATTTACTGATCATTCAATTTACTGATTTTTTCTCTGTAAGTCCGGTAAATCCGGTTAATAGATACTTCTCTACGATAGTTGTAACTCCGTTTAATATGAAACCGTTTTCAATAATATATTTTTTTTAAGAATGAAAGGAGTCAGAAGTCGGGAGGGCTGAATGTGGCAATCAGGCTGACTACCTTCCTTATTAAGATATAATATGAAATAGTATTATGAATACAGTTTAAAATTCGTTTGTCAATAAATTATTATTCAATTTTTGAAATTTGTTTAAGTTTAATTTGTTTGTTTAAAAGAAAAATATTTTTTTCTTGTGAAGCAGTCTAATTATTATTATTTAACTGTATGTAAACAATTTAGAGTATATATATAGTATATATTATTAAAATTATTGACGAAAAGATTTACTAATATGAATAAACTTGTTCCAACAGAGTTACACAAAAAAATTTATGTCGTGAATTCATCGAAATAAATGAAATCATAAATGCGTATACTAAAGTGTCAGTTTGACCAAATTTCCTCTTGAGATGTTTCAATCTTTCAGCAAAAGACAACACGTAAGACGTTTACTTGATCAGATAACGTCTCAAATGCGTAAAGCTTCCATATTAAATCTCCAACAGACGAATAACAAAATAATACTGGAGATGAGCAAATATTTTCAATATTATGAATACTACATTTGGTGAACCGATATCTTGGATTAAAACTATATCGCATAACAGTTTGGACTGAATGTGAGCAGAAGTTAGGAAGTTTTGGTTATATAAATAGTAAGTATTTTATTTTCACTATAATATAAGATAATGAAGATAATGAAAATGATTGTGAAGGTGGATTTGTATTATTAAGACAGTCAGTTTGCAAACGGTAAAATAAGTAATCTAGTAAGTTGGGGTAACAAATTAATTATTAAATTGGTTAGAATACGACGTTATGGCGTTCGCCAAAATTTACTCAGATTTAATATCGTTTCAGACTAGTGATAAAATCTAAATACTTTCAGAAGAGTTGTTATAGCTAACTTAGATCTTCTAGAAGGTTAGTATTTACTGACTTATTGATATTTTGACTTCAGAATAGTCAATGACAAATGTTTTTATTTTAAATTTTTTTTTTGTAAAAAAGTTCTCAGAAACTCATTATTTTAGGTTATGTTTAAGGATGAAGCTGATTCATGTTGCATTTGTAACCTCTGATAATAAATTTCAGCTCTTCAGGTTTTTAACATTCCGCTCTCCTAGAAATTATGCTCTTTTATTTACAGATGATTTTTATGAACGTGTATTCCTTATTTAAAAGGAAATTAAACTTTAATTTGTTTATCGACCTGTATTCTATAATGATTTTATTGTTGATTCATTAGCTGGCTGTAGGTCTCTTTCATTTCAATAAAAATCAAAAAATCTAGTTGTCTATTGTCCATATTGCACTGAACAATAGATAACTAAAATGAAATGTGATATTATTAATTAATTTTTATTTTTTATTAGACCATGCTCCTGATGATGACTCTCAAAGAGAGTCGAAATATTTTAATATTATTTTTTTTAATGTTTTTTAATTTTTATTGAAATAAAAGTGACCTATAGCCAGCTAATAAATAAACAATTAAATAATTTTAAAAGAAAATTTAAAATAGTTGGAAAAGAGTTTCCCAAAAATATTAGAGCAACTCCTTCCTATTCATTACAGTTCAAGGCTTGACAATATTTCATCATCTTTTGTTTATTAGGTGATGGTCGGTCGCAAAGGAGATACTGAGTAGGTGACCAATTATTAATATTTTCGTTTGATATATGCAATTATTTCAAAATTAATAAATGATTTTTCTTTCGATTTTAGGTTGTCAATACTAACTTTTTTTTAAAAGCAGTACAAAATTTTAAACCACTATTTAAGTACAGCAAATTGAAATCATTTCAATACCAGTAATTTCCAGTAATACCAGTAATTTACAAGCATAAATACCGATGTAAGATGTCTAGAATCATCTCACCGGAGAGGAGTAAAGAACAGATAAGCTAAAATATTTTTACTATTAACATTTTTTTCAATAATATGTGCTAAATTAAGCAACATAATCTTATTTAAATAATATAAATTGATTTTGTTGGCAAATAATACTACATTATAAAAGCGGTGTTAAAAGTTTTTACAATTACTGCGATTTTTACAATTACTGCGAAAAAATGTTAAAGGATCATTGGATAAATATTGAAGCCTAATATGATTAGGCTTAATGTACTTTAAACTAATAAATATACTAATGAATTTGTCCTGAATAATTAAATAATAGTTGTCGAATTATAAATTTGTTTTATTATACACTATTTATCCAATTATCTTAGATTTATACACTTATCTACTAATTATTCAATTATCCTAAAAATATCTTATTATTATTTTATTATATATTTTGTGATACTAAATATTATATACATGATTTGTAAACATCTACATACGCATATATTGATCTAATTTTTCTTTAAATGCTCCTATAAATAATATTTATTTTTTTATTCCGTTTATAACTTTAAAGGTTTTCAGTGTAAAATTTTTTATTAGAACTTCAAAATATCATAATATTGACGAAAGGTCAATATGATGAAATGATCGGTAGATTAGTATTTTTGAGTTAAACAAATCTTTCTATGTTATCTGATTTTAGATCTATTATCTTTTTAAATATTATTATTACTTTTCTACTGATTTTAGAGTATTTTTAAAGCATTATTTATCTATAATATATGTTCGGTGATAAATGTAATGCTATGGCAGTTGTGATACTACACAAATGTAGTATTTAAAAAAGTACAAAATTTTGTGTGATATTTCCTCAATTTCCATGTGTTTATACAGACTACTTAGCAGTATTTTAGTATATTTTAAAATTCGTCCCAAAATTATATTGACGTTTTTTCTTTATTTTACTCTTTTTCCCCATTGAATTAGAGAGTAATATTTATTTTATTATATAGCCATTTGTTTACTAACTTTTCTAAGAAGCAAACTTATACTAATTCAGTTAATATTTATAATTATGAAAAAAAATTGAGAGATGTGGGACAGACATGATTTTCCGACTGAAATCAAAACAGTGAAAAGCATGAACTAACATAATTCGACTCGCAGTTATGTTATTATATCAAATAATTTCTTTGATCTTGAACTATTATAGATCATAGGTAAAAGAACTAAGCTTAGCATAAACGCTTTAGATTATTGTTAAAATATTAAAAATTGTTTTTCATGGTTTTTACACTTACACATCTCTAATGTTTTGAATTTATTTTATTCTAATGTTTGGTAGAGTTTTCGTTTTAGTTGGCATATATTTTTTAAATCGAAAAATAAAATAATTCTATGTAATTAAAATATGTTTGCATCCAAATGCATATGCTTTCTAAAACGTATGTAATTGTATGCAACTATATTTTACTGAATTATTTTTCTCCGTGCACATATTTTATAAGTTTAAAAGTCATTTTTTTAATTTAAATTATTAAAAAATGTATTATTAAAGAATCTCTTTAATCTTAACGTCAACGTGTTGGAGTTCTGATTATGGTTTCTTCCAAATTTGGAATATACGGTAGACTTTCAGAATAACGAAAGATATAATGTCAGGACTTTTCGTCATTTAAAATATGTTATATCGAAGATTATCATTTTTGTTTTTACTTTATAGAAAAGTGATAAAAAATCTTATTGTTAAAAAATTTACATTATTATATATTTTAAAAAATATATATTTATGAAGATTAGCTTAGATGGAAGTTGAAAATTTGTATCTAAAGCCTCTTATATTTATTTTTGAAGAGTAATGTTGTGTTGATCTATATTGTTTTGTATTGCATATTCACTCCATACAAGTATATTACTAGAAAATATACTCGATCGGAGATTTGTGCTTACTGAACTTAATTCTTCTTGCTCTGTTATTGTGCTATCAAAACTTTGTCATCAAATTCTAATTTATGAGTTACTTCTATAGATTAGACAATAGACAATAAAATATTCATATATTGCAACATAAAAATTTAAATATTATTTTGATTTATTGGTTGAATCAAGGAAATACTGTTTGGTGGTATATATATTACACGTATTTCTCTATCATGAGTTTTCCCACCTCAAAAAATTCTTCATCCTAAAACGAGGAATTAAGAAATTTCTGCAGAATTTCTGGAATGAAGTAAAGTATAAAACCTGAGAAGCAAAGTGATAATAGTAAAACCAATTTCTAAAAATTACTGTAGTTATTCCTGCAATTCCTCTATTTGAATATTGTGTATATATATTTTTGTTTAATTTTTTTGTGTCTGTTGTGTTTGCACAAATAAAGAAACTAATTCTTTCTTTTGATCAGGCAGGTATACTTCGCCTAAATGTACAAGTTTGTTTGGGGTCTATTTTTCAATATGCACTTCTTTCATCTGCATTAAAAAAGTCATTTTCAGATATATATCCATTCATTATTATAGACAACAATTTCTCTTTAAATGGCTTCACTAAATCATTCATTGCAGACAATTTTTCTACTAATTAAACAAGAGGATGAAGTCCATACCTTTTTGTGAAGGTATGGGCTTCAACCTTCATTAACGTTGAATTATCCACAGTAATATTTTTCATGAAATTGTTTAGCTTTAGATTTTAACATCCCACTGCTTATTTGAAGGATAAGTAGTGGTATTATCTGCCTTTTTAATTGTGCTTATAAAAGACTTTGAAATAGCAGATTTTATAGAAGTTCAATTGATAAACGTTTCCTAGTTGCCATTGCCATTGTAACTACTTCATTAAGAAATTATTTAATATAGAAAACTAAACATATGTAACTAAAAAATGACATCGTAAATTAGAGTGCCCTTCAAAGAATTAACTAAAAAAAAGTCTTCTTCTTCTGGTAAAGGGTACTAGCACTATCTTGCTCGAATTTATTGGAAGTATTTTCTGTAGGCACTACCTCTGTGTGATACCAAGCGCTAGTTGCATCCGATCGGAAATGGTAGAGTCAAACTTGTCCTTGACCAAAATTACCAGATCATCTGCAAAACCCTGAAATTCGTAACTGAGATCATCAAAGGTTTGGATTAATTTCTCGATGACCAATATCCATAGGAGTGGAGATAAAACGCCTTCTTGTGAACAGCCTTTAGTTGATCTAACGGTTAATTTGTCCATCACCGCCACTGTTCTGTTTTCCAGCATGTTGATGACCCAATTTCTGATTTATCTGGGGATGCCTCTCCTAACCATTCCCTCCTTAATTGGCTGGAACGAAACATTGACGAAAGTCCCTTATATGTCTACAGATGCACAAAGAGCCATTTCCCTACCATCTCAGGCCTTTTCAATTTTAACCACTCGACTATGTATAGTTGTTTCGGATGATTTGCCTAATTGGTACGCATATTGTTCAGAATGAAGAGACGACTTTTCAAGATAGGCTTCGCTGACATACTTCTCCAAGATTTATTCCATGGCTTTAACCAGGAAAGACGTTAGGCTAATTGGTCTAAAGGCCTTAGGCGTATTGTCACCTTCTTTGCCTGCTTTTGGTATAAAAGCTACCCGTGCCTTTGTCCAACTATAAGGAACAAAACCTAATTCAAGACTTATCCTGAAAAAGTTAAGATCGGTGCTAGTACATCCATCCCTTGCTGTAGTAAGCATGGTTAAATGTTATCAATCACAGGGGATTTAAATGGACTGAAGGTGAATATTGCCCATTTCGTCTTATTAATGATGAAGATTTTACGAGCCAGAGAGAGATCACGCCGGATCGAATATCCTTGATAGCTTGATTATCCTCCCTCATTAGTGACACAGCCTGAGAAGTGAATGTCCAGTAATAACTGTCCCATCTCTTCCAGGCTTTTCGTAAAGCTTCCATCCATTTTTTTTAAGTGTAGTAAGTCCATTTGAGTGGTCTTTCATAAAGCATTTTTGAAGTCTAGCAGCCGATGCGAGTGTTTCAATTCCCTCGCAGTACTTCCTCCAAGAATTCCTCTTTGATTTTCTTTGCAATGTTGTAATCAGTTAAGGTAGACTTATACTGATTCGAAGACCATGCCCTCAGCGTATTGTACAATCATTATACACCGGACACAGTGATAGCTAATCACCGGAAATACTACTTTTTACTAATTATACCTATATTCACAGTATTCTATATCTATGATCTAATAATATATAAATATCTAATAATATTGTTAAAAAATTTTTAATAATAACAACAATATGGATAAAAATTATAGTAATAATAGTAACAGTAAAAATTAAGAGTAAAATATTATAATAATATCACCATAATATCAGTAATATTAATACCGTAGGTAACCTAATGCAAATTGCAACAACCTTACACAATCTTTTTACAAAATATTTTTATATTATATTGTTAAGTTATTGTAAAATAAAACAGTTTGCAAAGCTTTTAAGATTTTAACCTAGTTTATTTATTATATTGATAGTAGCAGTTTTTAATATATATATTATTTCATTCGCTCCAAAGCAACCCAAAAAACCTCCACTCTACGCGTCGTATTTCGCCATACTCCTCTTTAAACGTCAAACGCTCGATTTGCTATTTTTGCACACTCATGGTTGCATTTTCGTATTTTAATTTTTCGTGTTTTTACAGTCGGCCTCCTGACATCTCAAAGCGACCCCGCTTTGTCCGTCGATTCGGCAACGTTATCATTGTCGTCATCATCGTCGTTATCAGCCTCGCTGCTACTGTCATCGTAAGGCAACTGACACCATCGCTTGATCTTATCGAACGAATACACCGAGGTGTACTGCCGCTGTGTTCGTTTGGAGTTGGGTAAATCGTTGACTACATATCGGTCTTTGTCGAGTACTTTAGTAATAATGAAGGGGCCTTTATAACGCGGCTCTAGTTTCCTCGACTCACCCGTGCTATACGGCTCGTTTTGGACTAATACTAGATCACCCTCTTGAAATTTCGTTGGCTGTAAGTACCGCTTGTCGTATCGGCTTTTAGCTTTAGCTCGCTCATCAGTAATTCGTTCTGCAATCGTTCTGCGTAAATCCGTTAATTGATCAGTAGTCAGAGTGTCGTCGTTATGTAGAGTTAGAATTAATGCGTTCTGAAGTATATCACGAGGTTGATAACCATACAGCAACTCGTACGGTGTGCATTTCGTTGTCGCATTCTCCATCGTATTTAGGCACCATTGCAATCTTACCATATTTTCGTCCCATCGTTTGTCAACCGTATTTGTTGGTAACAGCATCGATAATATTGTTCGATTAGTCCGTTCGG